CAACTTGCAGTCTAAGATCTTTAAAAATCTTCCCATTCCTATTAAATTTGTTTATTATATGTGCCTAGGGGTTGCAGAATGACTGAGCGAGTTGAACTAATTGAGCTTGGCTCATCCATGGCTTGTTCAAGCTTGTCTAACTAGATAAAGGAGTTAAGCTCATAAAGGATTGATAAATGAAGTAACATGCAAACGACAAAGTTAATCAAACTAAACTCATTTTAACTTTGCAAAATAACTTTAGATTGTCTTAGAGATAAACAAGTCAATCTTATGCTGTACCAAACACTCAGCGACTTGGCCGACACCAACTTGGATCAATTCATTTGCGCTTCTTTAGATGGACTAGATGTTTTGTTTATTTATGTTTCCAATTTGTTGATAGCTATCTCTCTAATGGTAGGTTTTTTAATAATTAATTCTGGTTTATGGTTTCCTCCTGTGTCTTTTTTCCTGTTGGTAATGTTTTGATATTTTCTTTGTTACCTTTAGGTTGAATCGGTGTTGGACAAGGAAAATTTTACGTTGGAAGAGCTTCTGGATGAAGAAGAGATAATCCAAGAATGCAAATCCTTAAATAGTCGCCTCATAAATTTGTATGGCACCTTTACTTTTCAATTGCATGTTTTGTCTATTAGTCTTGTCATTTGTGTTATGAATGTCCTTTTAATGGGTCATGGGTCCTTGGCAATCACACCCTTACCATGACCTGCTGGTTTCACTTTTAGTTTTGAAGTTCCTTGAAGACAACGTGAAATTTTATTGGTGTTTAGTTTGAGAGATAGAGCTCAGGTTGAACAGTTGCTGCAATACATTGTTGAGGAGTCTCAGGATGATGCGGATAGCAAACGAATGTTCAAGTGAGTTGAGATGGCTTTTACGCAAAAGGAAAAGCATTTCAATGATCATTTTTTATATTTTATGCATTACTCAATAACTATATTTTCCATAAATTCTTTGTTCCTGCTTCTTGAATTATAATTTATAAGGGTCAGTATATTGTGGTTATTTGAGAATAGTCCATTCTTATTCTAAGATTTATCTCATAATGTAGGTTTCCTTTCATTGCTTGTGAAGTTTTTACATGTGAGATTGATGTCATCTTGAAGACTTTGGTGGAGGAAGAGGAGGTGAGAACATGTATCAGACAATTGGAAAAATGTGATGGTTGACCAAATTGGTGTTCTAGTACCTGATAATTTAGTCGTCTGCTTTGTTTCTCTGCAGCTTCTGGATTTACTTTTCTCTTTTCTGCAACCTAATCGTCCCCATAGTGCACTTTTGGCCGGATATTTTAGTAAGGTACTCTTGTTGTATAAGGTTTTTTTCCTTTCTCTCTCTCTCTCTCTCTCTCTGTAGAATTCTCTTGTTCTGTGCTTGGTATGGTCTTATGAAGAGTAATTGTTTGATCTAATTTCTCTTGTCTTTGCAGGTTGTAATATGCCTAATGTTGCGGAAGACTATTCCACTTATGGATTACGTAAAGGTAATTTGAGTTTAATCTCTGTGTGTGTGTGTTTGGGGTGGGGGGTGTTGGCGAAGAATAAAGGTCTGCCTTAAGTTTGTATTTTATATTTTTTTGCTGAAACCTTGTTTCATATGGCTTAAAATAATGTATCACTCTGCAATTTGGGTTAAAAATGCATGTAATTTGTTTTTGAAAATGTTCATTTTTGGTGAAATTTTTTTTTCTAAAAAATAGCTGGCCGAAAAAGTTGCCAATGGCAAGCTGGAAAGGCAGGTAAAATGAATTCCTTTAATGCTGAAAATTTCAGGTCCTTTTGGCATTTGACAAGTATCCTTTCCCTGCAATCATTATTACAAGCATAAAACTGAATGATTAATAACTTTACTTTTAGCATGGGATCTCAATGAACTTGGGAGTTTTTGCTCGAGTTTTAGAACTTCCAGAAATAAAGATGACAGGAAAAATCTCCTGCTTTCAGGAGGTTATACTAGCATTGCCTCATGTTTTCTGCCTATCTCATCTACTCTTAAGCATACAACTCATAATTTCCTATTGCTGCCACTACCATAGAGCATTCATCTCTACCTGGTAATGAATAAAGCATCCGTACCCCTGTATATAGTTGAAAATTTAGAACATTATGTGTTATAATTTGTCATTTTCAGTGAATGACTATCAGGAGTCATAACCACTCGAAATGGAATATTCCCATTATTTATTTAATCACTGAACTGACAATTAGGGATGTGTGCTTGACTTACCTTATGACAGATATAGTGTTGTGCCTAAGGTTATATTACTCTATTTGTTGTCAAGAACTTTCATATTCATAATAGGTAGATGTACTACACTTAGAATCTGGTAAGATTCTTTACTTGTTGAGTTTAAATTTAATGAGGGTGTGATGAGCCCCTTTAATTTTTCAAAATGTGTTATGGAATAGTAAATTGATGGAGAATGTGTGGTTAAAAAAGGAGCAATTTTTTTTGGTTTGTGTGTAATATTATTTTAATGAAAAATGTGTGGTTGAAAATGAATATTGTAGAAAAATAATGTGATAGATGTGATAAATTGGGTGACAAACAGGGGCTAAACAAATTTCATATCAGGTCCAAGATCTTAAATGGGTTGTCAACACCATTTGCTCTCTTTTCTAATAATGCTTTTTTTAATTTTAAATGGGGAAGGGTAAACTGTGTATGATTTGTGTCACATCTCTGTGAAACAAATTCCAAGGGCTGCTAGCAAGAGCAAGTAGAAACTCAAGTCTATATATGGAAAATTTAGGTTTTC